ACTTCAACTCTTCTATTTACATGTGAAAGCGAGGCTAAACCACATCACCTATTTCATTGCGAGGCGGAATAAAATATAGTTCTGAAAATGTATCGATTGTTTGATAATATTTCAGATTTATTTTATCCAACACGGTTGTGTTTGCATTATGTGGACATAGGGTGTTTGTTAATCGACGCATTTTTGTGTCAACGACTTGTGATCAGAAAAATTACAAAACTGTGCGTAGGAAGAAATTAAAAAATGTCAAACGACTAACCCCTAGCAACAGCATGTGTTTGCGTGCCTCGTCAGAACAGCACTGCGTTCCGAGCGCCAAGCGCTACGTCACACTGGGCACAAACGACGTGATAGACGCAGGTCATGCGTTCAAACCTGGGACGCTTTATTTATCCCCTCCGCAAATAAAGCTGGGTGGGACCTTTTGTTTATTTGTGTCGATGAGACATCACAGAGGGTCCCGGATCCCACTAGTATGTCAGAGAAATGATGAGCAGACACCCCCATTCAACATTTCGTGTCGCCGCCTCTGTCACACCCACCAAAACCAGTCAACAACAAATCAGAGAGGTTTGAATTGTGATTGAACTATAACATCCTATTTAACTTCATTTATTAGATATGTAAATATCTATTCAATATACTTCGACGGTGCAATATAATTATTTTTAAAATTTCAATGAATATTATTTGTTTTCGAGTTTATTTTTTAAAGTAACTTCAATTCATGATAAAGTGCACCTCATCATCGGGCATTCTTCTTCCAAATTATGGTCACTCAAACGTAAAACAACGGCGCTGACATTTTTGACTTTACATTTTTTTTAATTTGATTTATGTCTTGATTAAATTATATATTCTGAGCTACCATAGGAACTATTTATTTATTTTCTTAAATTCTTTTGTAATTTTTATGTGTAATTTTGTATTGCAAGCGTTAATTTTATAACTATAGTTAACAATTTAATTATAATGATTGAAAATCTGTTGAATATTGGCAAGTCAAATAAAATCTAAAAATTACCTTAAACCAAGGTAATGGTTATCAACATATTAATTGTCAAAAACATGAAAGAGTACGACAACATTTATTTGAGTTCATAATAATGAATCAAAACTTTATTACAATGAGTGAAAAATACAAAGTGTGTTTTATTATGAGCAATACAAATACATTTATATTTCCGGGCAAGTGTATAAATAAATGCAACGAATATACTTGAAATAATATATTTCTGATTCGTTTCAGCGTGTTCGGTTCCTTTACTTTCTTCTTTCTGCCCATTGTTACTTGACAATGTTAATTTAAAAGTGAGCAATGTCATACACCGGAATCACTGAATTGTCGATATTCATTTGAAAATGTGTATTGTGTACTTTTTGTCTAACATAATCAAGCACCGTGAATGAATAATGCTATATTATATAAATAAATAAATAAATAAATAAATAAATAAATAAATAAATAAATAATAAATAAATAAATAAATAAATAAATAAATAAATAAATAAATAAATAAATAAATAAATAAATAAATAAATAAATAAATAAATAAACAAACAAACAAACAAACAAACAAACAAATAAATAAATAAATAAATAAATAAATAAATAAATAAATAAATAAATAAATAAATAAATAAATAATACTATGTATGTACTAATAAAAAAAATACTAACAGTGATCATGACAAAAACAATTTAAGAGCATTCATTTGTAAGGCGTGTTTAAAAAGACCATATGAACGTATATATTGGTTGTTAAGGTTATTGAAACTCTCCATACAGTACACAAGTAGAAGACATATGTTAGCACAAGTAGCGAGAGTTGCGTAAAACTAGCTGGAGCATGAAAATTAAAGTTTGCGAATTAACATAAACTAAAACCAAGTAAGATCTTTTTAAGAGAATTGAATTTAAAAAGACGATCATAGGAAAGAATTTAATGAATTTGTCGAGTCACATTTTTTTGTATGTTTTCTGAAGTTACACGCACTCAAATAACAATATTACTGAAAAGGCGACCCAAAAACGAGACAAATTATTGTATTACATACAAAATATTGCCCAGAATATGACGTGGCGGTAACAATTTGGAAACCAACTAAACTCATTAGACAGGTCAGGTTATTCTTCGAACGAAAGTTGCCATTATGACGTTGGTGGCAGTATTCACGATACCTAATCTCGGACAAAAGCTTCGATGTCATTTACCACAAAAGATGGCGTCGCAAAGCTCTGACTGCAATGACCACGAAGACAGAATTAAAGTGGGAATTTTAACAGGTAATTTGTTAAGAATTCACGGTTTTGATAATACTAACTGTTTCGTAGTACACTTGTTCATGATCGAGTTCCGAACTTTGAAGTCTGAATAATGCCGAACTGCATTTTGAGACGAGTTGAACCGTTTTTGAAGTTCTACCCGCCGAACTCCATTAAAATGCGAGAGATGGCGCTTGAAAAGATAGGCAGATTTTCCGCAAATAGGTGTATATTCCTAAACTTTTAATTTATTCACGGTCAAGAAACCCGGCTGCCTTGTAATTTTCTCCGGGGTAATTAGCTAAGGGATTGGTCAGTTACTTCGGTCTAGGGGGGTCGGTGGATCAGTAGGGGGCCGGGGGTTACCCTGTTTTTGATATCATGAATAGGGGGGGTCACCCTGTTTTTGATATCATGAATAGGGGGGGTCACCCTGTTTTTGATATCATGAATAGGGGGGGTCACCATGTTTTCCAGAATTCACACACGCGCTCATGCATATATTTTTAAAAATTAACAAAA